ATGAGCATAATAGAGAACACATTAATGTTAACATTATATTAGTGTTTAAACCCTTAGTGAAATAGAGTTTGTTCTAGCTCTATAAGCAATAATTTCAACATGTTAGCAAATCCTACCATAGAGTCCATCTTATTAGCTCTTTTCTCTATTCCGCAGTAACACTTCCAATGATCAAAAATTTTTAAAAACACAAACTTTAACTGGAAAGTCTGTACATAAATGTGCCAGACCTGTACCTCTGCTGAGCTCTGTTTTGGACAAGGGGGGTAAAGTTGCACACCTCTGCAGGATTGCCTTGTGATACTGTCTTGGAGAAAGAGGTTGTTGCAGTAGTTGGAGAGGACAGTCCTGACAGTCACTGTGGAGCAAAACTGCATCCTCTACCTCTAACCATTATTATCATTATAGCACAAGACCACTGTAACCCACCATTGAGTTTGGCTCAGTTTCAGCCACCACTGGGTACAACTAAGGAAGGGTCAGAGATGCTTTACCCTTTACGGGCGCTGGAGGCATACATGGCAGCCACTGCAGGGGGTGAAGCGCCCAGACCAGCTTTTTGTGTGCTATGAAACTTCCAAGCTGGGTTGTCTCTAAATAATGTCCCTCCCACTGGATTATGGTTGTCATCTTATACACATATAGTTAACATACAAAACTATTGTTTTCCTTCCTTTCAACTTTCCATAAATAACTTAGTTACAGCACTCACTAAAAAGCCAGTTTTCAAAAAAAAAAAAATCTTTGTCTTTTAACCTCCTTGTGCAGTATTCTATTGCTGGACCACTATGTCTATCACGGTTGGGTGGAGGATTTTGAGGACCCGAATGCAGAGATCAGGAGTCAGAGGTGAGTTGTGCAGTTTTAATCAGACAATAATAAAAAAAAAAAATAAATAAAAAAAAAACAGAAAATACAAAGAAAATATCAGCAGACATCAGGGAAAAACTCACGTGGGTAGCCAGAGATGAAGAAGCAACAAAACAACAAAATCAGCACTGAATGACTGCAGAGGTGTTGTATATATGGGGAGACTGAACCAAGACAGGCTAATCAGCAGATTGGGAGCAGGTGTGAGCAGAACAAACTAGAAGGAAGCCAAGGGGAAAGGAAACAAGCACAAGGGGGCAACAAAGGGTAAGTCAAGAACTAAGCATTGACAGAAAATAACTACAAATACAAAGAAACTAAGAAAAAATCCAAACAGAGGGCAGAACCATAATAGAAACCTTAGATTTAACTGTTATTAAAGCACACTTTTTTCTTGTGTCATTAATTTTCTTGTGGTCAACAGATAAACAAAACAAATTTTGGGTTTAGTTGCTGTAATATATAATCATCTATTTAAATGGTAAGAATCCCTTTGTGATTGATAAACATGCATAAGATATAGTTTTTACTTCTTTAAGTAAATGACTAAATTACATTAAAATGCTATGGTGTGCCTGAATCCATGAGAAAAATAAAAACAAAAACAAGAGTGTTTTTTCTTTTAGGTTTATTAAACTTCAATGTTGCATACATAGAAAGTGTCTAGAAAGCTACAAAATATCTAGTGTTGTCAAGAAGGCATCATTATGTCACGGAGCAAAGACAAGACCATGAGCAGAACACGGAAACAGCACAGCTTCTTTTCTCTCCGTTGCTCCGACACTTTACGTTCATGATTACGAAAAAGATATCACACATCTGTACCAAGAAAACACGGAGATATACTTTTATACAAAACACATTTACACAAAAAAAGCAAACAAACAACAAAATAAAACAACAAAGATCCGAACACAGAACCAAAGTGAGTGAGCTATTTTAAAAATCACTTTAAAGCCATCATCATCACCATCATCATCAGAGATGCTCATAAAAGAGAAAGGTACCAGTACCCGATCCAAAAATCTAAATTACAAATAACAAGAGCTAAACTGCTGATATGTTTGTTGCGTGATTGAATGCAGCTCTCTGTGTCCATTTTCCCTTAAAAATGGTTCAGCCGACGTTAAAGGCATCAGTCCTGCGGTTTTAGTATTTATATGTCAGCAGTGCAGCAGTGACATTACCATCGGAATGGGCTTCAGTATACAGACAATGTCATCACAGAGAAAAGTATACAGGTACAATAAGAAAAAAAACAACAACAAAAACATCTCACTACAGAGTATAATCAATAAATGTGAACAGATACACAGGGTAAACAATTGAATAAAGGCTATTACAGCTCCACGCTGTCCACAGGACTGTGGCAAAGCTACAACCCCCAGACAGTCTATAATTATTTAACAATTCTTTGAATACTTTTTTTTTTTTTTTATGACCAAAAACCTGTAAGAACCGGAACATATTTATGTAACTGAGATCATTTATGTGTTACCATTAGTTTTCAGACCTCCACTCACACGTCACAGTAGCAGCTGTAAAATAGCCTGGGCAAAAAATCCCACTTTAACTAGAAAGCATTTCTAAACATGATGTTAGATTTTTTTTTTTCTGCTGTTAAATAAACTTTTTTTTTTATTCTTCCAATATGTTTTAAAAGGTGAATTCACAAGACTATGTCTAGATCACCCATGAAAAACAAACATTTTTTATTTTCCATGTGTGTGAAAGTGCAGGCACAGCAACAAGGAGGCTGCAGTTTTCCTAAAAATCTGCAAACACTTGAACCTGCAAGTGTGCATGGAACAAACTGCTTCAGTGTTTTTGCATCCTGCTTTAAGTCAGTGTAAAAAAAAAAAAAAAAAGAGTAAAATGCAAGAATTTTAATATTTTTTCAAATTTAACAATGTTGTAATTAGGAATGATTTATTAATTAGCTATTCTTCTCCTGCTGTCAATCAGTCCCAAGTCCTTTAAGAAAAGGCAATGTGGTGATTGTTGTCACTTGTGTTCTGTTTTTGGTAAAGCAACATTGATTTTTTATTTTTTTTTCATGTCTACTAAATTTTTTCGAAGCTGGAAAGTTGAAACCGAAAGGCACTTCCTCGCTACCGCGCAGAACACAACAGGTTCTCCCGATTCTTTTTGGTCTTTTGCAACATGAAAGGCAGCTCTTATTTGTAATATAATTGTAGAAAACCCTTAGAAACTCTTCTTCTAGCTTACAAACCAATCTGAACATAAGTGTACTGTGTCTTAAAAATGATGAAACTGTGTGCTGATTTGATGAAGTGTAATTTGAAAAAGAAGTGGAGTACTGTTATATTTGCCTGACTTGCTCACAAAACCAACTTAAGAACTAAACAAAATGCAATGAATACATTCTAAGGCACTGTACACTTAAACTTTGGCTGATTGTACAAAATACACACTGCAAACAAAACAAATCTGATGTGGTGAGAGTTCACAGTTTTTATGGCATCTTTTGGAGTTCACAAACAGCTTTATTAAGTTTAAGGCTTAGGATTGAAGCAGGCAACAGAGATGTGAACTCGACAGGAATAATTACACCTCTATCTCCAGGCATGGTGAGTTATCTATAGTTTCACCATTATTTAAGCTGTAGTTTATAAGCTGCAGGATCACCAAGGTGAGCACTGGGTGGAAAACAAAGTGCGTCTGGACCAGAAGGGTCTAAATCAGAGACGTGTACTTTCATTTGGCAGGAACAAAAAAATGTTTTTGTATCAATTGCCAAAACATGTCATTTATGTCTGCAAAACAGAAATTCTTAGAGAGAAAGTTACTCACCAATGGTTTATACAATGGCTTGCAAACAATTTATTTACATCTTACATTTGATCCAAATGTGCCCATCCCTTTTTAATAAAATACACTAAATAAAATCAATTGCAATTTTTTGTTCAGGTTTCTCCTCACGAATCTTTAATTTAAAGGTATAAAGGACGATCTTTTATTTCTGGGGCGGATCATCTAAATAATTTTTGTCTTTTTCTGCACATGCGCACTTTCAGCCCCATATCTGTGGTGAGCTACAGTTTCAGACAGTGATTGAAGCTCGCCTTTCTCACCATGGTTCTTTGAAAATGGCCGAAGATTGTGAAAGAAAAAGTGTCTACGAAGTGTATGGGAAGAGAAAAAAGGCCTCAGAGAGGCAGATATATCCCGTTATGGTATTTGCTGTCAAAGTGGCCTGCTGTCACCATAGGCTGTCACTACCCAACAGCAAAGGCTAATAACAAAGATGGCGCAGGCACCGCGCAGTAGTGGAGGAGTTATGTGCCAACAGAGAGTAAATAGTAGTGATTCATTTGTCCGAAGGGTAAGTTAACTGAGTTCACTATGAAGTCCACTATATAGTCCCTGCTTTATATAGTGATTGAGGGATTTAGGGATTAGGGTGGATGTTCGGGCACAGTAAGCTTGCATGAGCTACTGTATGAGAACAGCAACTTTTAAATGGAGCTTGCATGAGGAGAAATGGGCTTGTGGACGCCCTCACACGCGTTTAAATAGGCATTCCCTCTCGGGAGCGGGTAAAGGGTTATTTTTTGTAATGGAGAGGGTGGGTCTTTTAAAAAAAATCCCCAAAATCCTCCACAATACCTTTAATTTCAGTATAAAAGAGGGCTATCCACATAAACAAACAGGAATTGAAAGGACAAAATTCATCAAAGAAGCCATGATGTCCATGGTAAAAGAACAAAATGTACAAAGAACATAACTGAAAAGAAAGCAAATATATCGAGGAAGCAGCACTGGTAAGATTCAAAAATTCTTGGCCTTAATATAAAATGCTTTGTGTGATAGGAAACGAATGCGGCACATCTTGCTCTCCACACACTACCCTCCTTGGTTAAACATGATGATGGCGGCATTGTGATGTTGAACTAAACATCCTCGGTAGGGAAATGGAAGCTGGATAAGTAGATGGGAAGATGGATGGAGCTAAACTGAGAACAGGAAGTAAATCTGTTTGAGCCTCCAAAGACGTTAAGGCTATAGTCTGAAGTGTAGTTGTTGAAAAAAAGGGGTATTTTTTTTTGTTTTTGGAAACATATATAGCCTAATTAATATAGTGATGATTGATTTCATTCATTTTGATTTTATTCATTTTGCTAAGGCTACTCGTAAGTCCACAGCCTAAATGTTGAAGGGCAATATCATTGCCATTACTGTTAATAAGAAATAGACATTTTTCACTTTCAACTATAAAATGTCATAGGGGGTGGTATGGGAGGGTGGTCATTTAAGAAGGGGGATGATTTTTAAGATTTTTTTTTAAGAATGGGGGATGCCATCCCCCCTCAACTCCAGTACTGGCTAGAGTGGAGATTCACCTTTCAACAGGAAAAAAACCATAAACCTACAGCTTACAACAGAATACAGAAAATCAGTGTGTTAGAATAACCCAGTGAAAGTCAACACATAAACTCTATGTGGCAAAAAATCATTACCTATGACCTCTCCTTGAAAGGTCTAAGCTTCTAGTTTCCAATGATGCAGCCCATTAGGAGGTGTGGCTAAAAATGAATACATGCTGTTACATTACTCTAGCAGAGTCAGGCATGTCAGGTGGAATTTTAAATCTAATTTTATTTGTTTACACAGCTATAAAACAAAAAAAGTATTTGTGTAAGAATAATTTTGAAACATGTTTTAGAAATCTTAAAACTGTGTTTTGACCATTTCTATAAATAGATAATGATAATCGGGCCCGCCGGGCTACAAAAACCCAAACCTGTCAGGTATGGTCTGGAACTATTTCTTTACAGTGTGTAGCTCGTGTTTAGTTTCTGATTCCTGAGCCAATTATATGAGAGTTCCCAGGACTGATAAAACAGAGTGCAGCATTTGGTATTTTATGATGGCAAAAATAACCGCAGCCTGCAAAAAATGGAAGCCAGCAAGAGAAGCGAAACAGATGTACCTAAGAAGCCTCATACTCTTCCTTTGTCTTTAACCTAGCTCTGTTGTATTGTTCTGATTTGATACGCTAATTTCCCTTAACCTATTGCTTCTTTAAGTAGCTATGGCACTGAACTGTCAAAAAGTGCTTTCAGACATTCTGTGTTTTCTTATCCGCTTTTTTTTATCATTCGATACGAAAAGAAGTTACTATCTGATTACAAAACAATTGTTTTTGATGACAAAGATGGTCTAATATTTTTTTTACATGACTGTACCTCCTTATTTCACAGTGTATTTCTTGTCTGTCTGAAATTTGGAGTGTTTCAACAAAAATATTTACACATTTTTACATCCATATGATTTCAGCCACTGACATGTATTTGTAGTGTTATTTATGTGTCTTTGGGAGGTTTATTTCGCTGTGAGAACATGGTTTTCTACAAGATGTATTGAAACAAATTATAAAACACAGATTTTTTTAAAACACTCTCAACACAAAATGTACAGACCATCACAGGCTTTTTCCCTCTCAGTTGGTATAACAAATCAGAAAGAGACTACACATAGATTTCCATTTGACAAATAAATCTCATTGAAACAACCAACTAAACATATTGAAAAATGAAAATTCCCATTAAGTTCCCAATAGATCATAAAACAACTGTACCATATTTCACAGCTGTGGTCAAACAACACTTACAACACACTAACTTCACCTCATACCTCAACCAAAGAGCATTGAAAGGTTGACTTTCAATGCAGAGGCACTGCCACTTGTTTTGGAGGTTGATAAGTCCATAAAGAAAAACGAAAAAACAAAACAGACTGGTTTATTCCTTTACCAGTCTGTAGATATGGTGCTGGGCGCCGTGCTCGCTGTTCGACACTTCAAACACACAAGCCATACATAACAACGTCTCCTGGGTGTCCCTATTTGACACGACCTGCAAGAGAAAACATGCAGGATGTTTGGAGGGATGCTAAAGAATACATGCTTTCAAATCATCAAGAGAAGTAAGTCATGCTGTTGAAACATTTCAAGCTTTATTTTTGGGTGCTTCTACTCCCTTCAACAATCCAAAACCCCCCATTACCTCTTACACTTATGAGTCTTCATTATCATTCCTTGTGAATATAATCTCTGTTGATCCTGGATACCTACGCCTTATGACCTAAATCCCACATCAGCTTCTGTGATTTAGTTCTGGATGCAAACCCACGTGCAAAACATTGCACAATGGTGTGTGTACAAAAAAGAAAAAATTTAAATTACTGAATTAACAAGGGCTGCACAAAAGGTTTCTGAATTATTCCTCATTAGGGTAAAAGAATAGTTTTATCTCACAATTTCTTTCCAAGATTTTAGTTCGTTCCCAGAGCAAGCCATTTTTTAAACATTGAAAGTAGATTCCCTTTATAACTCAACTTCTAATACCTGCTTCTGGTGTACTATCTAATGTCACAGCCAGGTCCATAGTAAGCCATTTGGCCCCTGCTCCTGCAACCAGTTGTTAAAAGTGACATTTCTGGGGGAAATAATTGCAAACCTTGTATCTATTATTTTATATCACTGCTTCTGCTTCTGTCTCCTTGAACCTCAGTCGGCCTTGACAGATGGCTTCTTACACTGAGCCTGGTTCTGCTGGAGGTTTCATTCTGTTAAAATGGAGTTTTTCCTTTCCACTGTCGCTACAAGCACGCTTAGTGTGAGGGATTGCATTCAGTCAATGAGTTGATGCAATCAACTGGTTTTTTTTTAGATAGAAAACTTTGAATCAATTTGACTGTATGATCTGGTGAACTGTAAAGTACCTTGAGATGACATGTGTTGTGAATTTGCGCTATATAAATAAACTGAATTGAATCGAATTATAAATATACCTATTTTTTGTTTCATTTAAGTGCAATTCTGTCTTTATATTGATGCTCATAGTTAGAGTAACAATAGTTAGAGTAATAGTTAGAGTTACAATATTAACTTTTAACGTGTTCTCTATGTTTTGTCTTTTCACAACCAGAACTGCAGTAAAGTATGCCCTTTAAGATCTTCACACATTTAAAAAGAGAGTTTATCAAAAATCAACCTTGAATCTTTGAATTCTGTTCAAAGACAAAAGAAAAGGTGCTTATGAATGCATGGATTTCTGTGGAAACATTCCTTAAAAGACAAATATATGTGCAGATTATGCAGAGTATGGTCTAAAATCTTTGATCAGCTAATGAAAAGTTTTAGTGTGAATTAAGTTTTTAACTATTTGCTCATACTGCTTCCCACGTCTCGGACTACATTTTTTATATATATTTTTTTGCATTACCAACAGGTTTGGATAAAATGCAACATTCAAATACTTGCAATTTGTTCCTCAGATGCAAGAATTTAATTAGGAATTTACAGCTATGCAAAAATTCAGCTTCTTAGGTTCTGATTACTTAAACAAAGCTATATCTTGGCTGTGAATGTCTTCCATCTACCTCACCATGGCTGTTGGAACAATCACATATATCAGAAAAATAACATATCAAAGTTCTTCAGATAAATTATCAGCCCATCTGGAATTAATCTTGAGGGACCTTGGAAGGGGCTTTTTCTCTGATATGTTAAAACAATACTGCCACTCCCACTTAGGTGACACTGTGCTGTTTCACCAACAGATACATCAACTCACCACACAAGTTGTCATCAGTGAGATGGCAAGTGTTGCTAACCCACTCATAAGTTTAGTGGGACAAAATGCAGCAGTTTACAGAATTTATCCTTCTTATTAACTTTATTTTACTACTTGATACTTTTTTTATTCTATTACTTGCTATAAAAGACTGTCATTTTGATTTACTGAAAGAAAAATAATTCGGTGATTGGAAATGTATTAATATTTAAGACTATGACACTTGACTACGGCCTATTTAGTTTGAGTTAGCATTATTTTTTGAGTTCTTTGGATCAATCTGCTAAATTCAGTATTTTTAACTGATGATTAGAGCCTGGACTTCTATACCTAAAGGATCCTGGAATGCAACAGAGATAACTTTAAATTGAACTCAAACTAGATGCTATTAATGGATCTAAGAAGAAGTTAATGCGGGAAAGAATCATTTTAATTTGTTTAGGTTAAAAATAGTTTTAGCCATTTCTTTGGAGCATCCAGGGACCTGGCATTCAAATAAGTGAGTGAGAAATGATCCCATGCATCTATTACCTTCATAACTTGTCCAAGCTGCAGGTTAGTTATCATTACTTGAACATTTCAATACCTCATGAGGTCTTGTTTTTTTGGAGAACTCATAAATTTCTTCAGAAAAATAGACCCTGGTGACTGTTTTGCACAACCCCCACCCCCACATTCTTGTTTTATATGATTTTAGGACCTTACCATGACTCTCGCCAACTTCCATTGATTTCCAGTTATTTTCAAACTTTTCTTGAACTCACTGAATCTGATTTTCTGTCCGATCCGACAGACAAGTGTGCTGGATGAGGTTGTGGCAATTAGCGCTCATTGAGAGTCAATGGGGATGAAGAACCAACCTGATTTTCTGCAAGGGGGCTTGCGAAGCTGCGACTGAGATAGACTGCAGGCCTATTTTAGTCTGACTATGCAGCAATTAAGCTGCAATTTAATGGGTCCAACAGGAAGAGAGACCTGGTTACAATGTAATATATCTGCTTTGGGGGAAAATACAAAATGAAATGTCTGTCAATCACAACAGAAAATGTGAACCAAAAAAAGGCTGAATCGCACGGCACATACATAGAAGGCGGGGCAGACTCATGCATAAACAATAATTGAAATGTTAAAAATAAGAATACTTAACATATGATAAGAGTTCCCAATGACAGACAACAGATAAGATAGTAATTCTCTTTGAGCTTCGTAAAAAAAAAAAAAACAACAAGGGTCAGACAGTGCAAGTAAGTGCGACTTATCACTCTCCCCTCTTTATGAAAAAAAAGTAAAAACTTTGACAAATTTCACAGATCTCTCTCTGAGAATTCCCTCTCACTACCCTAGCTAGCATGTAAACTATCCCACAGCCTTTATTGCTGCTTTTTCCTTTTCTTTAACCGTAGTTTCCAATATGTTTTTAATTTAGGAGTAGAAACATTCTCTAGCTGTTTTGATTTAAAAGATACTGCCCAGACTCATTTTTGTTTTTTTTATCTATTTATTTTTAATACATTTTCATAATCTGTCCAAGTCAAATGTGGGAAATCTGGCACAGAGACTGATGTGGAAAAAAAAATCTGCACAGATCAAATCACCCAGCATCTCTATACGCAGTCAGTGTGACATGATACAAATTGCAGATTAAAATGTTGGAAGTAACCGGTGTGACCTAGGGTTGAATCTAACCATTAGCAGTACATACCTCCCCCTTACACTAAACCTAACTCTGTACACACCTTAGCCCTAAACCCTGGCAAAATATCTTTTGAGGACCAGAGACATCACTCTGCAACAACACAACCTCGCTTTGCAGGTAAAATAAGAAAAAGTGTTCTCACTAAGATGGCCGAACAGGAACACACAAACAGACACACGGCCTGCTCTGCTGATGAGGACAACCCATTGATTTCTATTTATTTTCCATTCATTTCTATGACCTAGCCTAGATCCTTACCTTAACCATTACAAACACATAACTCTAAACCTAAACTAAATTCACACTTTCATCCTAAACAAAATCTAAGAAGATTTGACCTTTCCCTACAATCTAGTATATTCCTGAGAAAGTGACCTTACACTGTCCCCACAAGGTAACAAATACATGGCCACAAACTCACACACAAATATCGATCTACGTCTGACTTTTAATTATTTTTTTGCTTTAATTATCTTTGTGGTTAATGATACTTAAGACCCCATGAGATGGCTAATAACCAGAGTTCCTGCCCTCTCTTATCCTCCCTTTCCCTTTAAGATAATGAGACTCCTGGGACGGTGTTTCATCCCCTGTGGAATGAGAGGAATGTAAGGGTGGCAAAAACGACAGCTGCAGCCACTGACAACACAACCGCAGAGAAAAGGAGAAGAATGAGAGACGGGGGAGGGTCAGGGAGGTGCTCACCAATAAGATGGTGAAGTTTTCCAGGACACTGTTCATCATGTACTTCTCTGGGAGATGTTTTAGCTTGTGGATAAAGTTGATCATGTATTCACACATGGGAGACCGGCTTATCCGGTAGACAAAGCGACCATTCTCAAAGCGTGCATATTCAGTCTGTGGAAAGGAATATAATATTTGGTGATTGAATATATATTAAAAAACGGTTTTGAATCAAAATTCAAAGAAGTGCATACCTCTACTTTCTCAACAACCTGCTTGCCGAAGGAGCAAACCTTTGTTGAACATGTTATGGTCATATTCTCTGAGCTCTCATACTGGCTGGTCACTCCATAAAATGATCCAGCATCATCTTGAATGTTGCAGTTTAGGTCGGCCTGGAAGGAAGATAATTATTTTTTTAGGATTAACTTTTTAGAAGAAATCTGCAAAGGAAAGTGTTAAATGTTGACCTTCTAAGTTAGTTTGAACTAAGTGTGGCTTTCAGACAAGGTCACTAAATGCAGATTGAGCCTATATATATCAGCTCAAATTTCACCAGCGTCAGATAAAGACATTTTAGTGGTTTGGAACAGAGAAAATAAATGGAATAAAATCAGTCCTTTGCCACAAAGTAGTTTTTATTTTGCATTAAAAAAATTAAATAAACACTCTAGACATTTTACAGTTTAAACACAACTGTATACTGATGATTTCCGGGGTTAATATACCGTAATGTAGATTAGTATTTAGTTTGATTTGAGTGTCTAGGAACTTATTAAGCCATGAATTCCTCTTTTTTTCCAGGGTAAAATGTAATAGTTCACAAAATCCTTGTTTCTTTTATACATTATTCTAATACACTATTGTCATTCAAGGAACAGTGATATGTATTAGAAATGAAAGGGGAAAAATAACATGGCTAAACTTTCCTATATCAACAATAATTAGGTGTCGAATCGTTAAAGCTGTGGCATAAAAGCACACAGGATGTTATGAGAGATTAAAAAAAGGTCACCGTGAGAGTTTTTTTCCAGTCTGGATTTAATATTAAATTATTGATTCATTTATAGAGTAAAGAGTCTTTTTCAGCAGGAGTGTCCATACATTTAGAACATTCAGGATTTCTTATGTGTCTATAAACTTTTGTATTGAACATTATCAAATGATTATAATTTTTTTGTCATATAAAATGTCCTCTTTCTTTTTGGAAAAAAAAAAAACCCTCACAAAATGTCTTGATAAGAAGATAAGCATATAACATAGACTGCTAAGAGATCTGGCAACATTATTAATAAAATTACTGATTTAAAGTTTTTAAGTCATATTAGCATAAACATCTAAATGTGGCCATACTGAGGGAAAAAACTCTAACAAGAACTAAATGAAGTTACATTAGGAGACTGATTTCCGAGGATGAATGGGTTGCTCCTGGAGGGCAGCCTCTCTGTGCCCCGAACATCCTGTTCATTATGGCCACAAAAAGAGGAGACATTCTCCCAACAACATTCTCCTCCTTCATTAAGCCAAGCAGTTACATGTTCATTATTTTGCAGATTCTGTCGTTCATTTGAAATTCAGATTTGCCGGTCACTTCAAAAGGAATTTGAGGGGACTTAGTCCAAGTGCATACGGGGGCTACTTTGTTGGCCGCCGCTTGTTAGCATTCTGCATCAGGGAGGAAATACATTCAATGTTTAAACAGCCATTAGGAGTGCAACCAGGTCACTCCATTGTTAGGAGATATTACACTGAATTAGTGAGTGCTTTGATCAAAAGGCTCTCCTGCTATGCAAGACCAAATATAGCACACCGCATTCTGCAAACATTAAGAGAGCAATCCTTTCAGTGCAGCCTGATTACTCCAAATCACCAAATAAAAACTTGAACACAGTGATACAGAACAGGATTCAGTATTTTTAAAATTAGTTATAATTATATATGATTATAAATCACATTTGATAACCCTGGAAATGTATACTGTATTTTGATACGTACCCAGAATTTGATGAGAAAAAAAGAATTCTGAGGACCTTTTCCATACAGCTCCTTTAATCCTCCTTTCTTCTCAGGAAATTTATCATAAATTTGACGAATATCCACAGACTCCAGCAGGGCGTCACTGTAGGAGTGATTGGTCTGTCCGATGTGTACAAACAGGTGCTTGTTGTACTGAAAGAGCAGATGAATCATACTTGAATCATCAGGGCAAATATATACACATCAGAAAAAAACTTAATCAAGAATAGATTTTCTTTAATGTAATTTGATGTTATTTCTAAGTTTAAATCAGTCATTGTGACATGCAGGCTTTAGTGTAAATGGCATACTCTGGATCACTGGGCTTTATGTAAAATAAATGACATCAATCAGACCAGACTGATAATTCAGGTAAAGGTTGGTAGGGATCCATGTAGGCCTGAAACAATTATTGGATTAATCACGATTACTCGATTATTGAAATAATCATCAATTAAGTAATCAATTAATCATTAACTGGAGTATAGTGACTGATAAATGTGCCTTTCACTGACAGAGCAACGCACACAGAGCAGTAATTATTTAGAAATTGTAAAAAAATAGAAACACTTTCGTCTGTCAATCTGCTCTATCCAAAACTCCTCAAGTGGAAAAGTTTTAGTTTCACCTTTTTCATTAAGAAAACAATCCACTTTAAGAAAACATTGGCTATCCGATTATTAATTGAAAAAAATCGACCAATTAATCGATTTGCTAAATAATCATTAGTTGCAGCCATAGATCCATGATTGTAGATCCTGCATTATCATACAGCTAATGTTTATTAGTTTTAAACATATTTGGATCACTCTGATAACTAAAACGGAACCAGTATGAACAACTAAAGTTTTTTTCCATCTAGTTGCTCTTTTTTCCGGAGGGTGTTGAGAGGAGACTGTGGTGTTTGTTGAACTGGAGGTTCGTAGCTGTACCGTTAAAGCATTGTCAAAACTGTTTTTTTTTATGTGTCTAAAAGGTAGAGGAATATATATCTATAAATTTCGGTTACTGATATAACTTTTATATTATTGTTGATTTTGGCCAAGATTTTCATATTGGTGAAACCCTGAATCCAACTGTTTGCCTTAGAAGAAGCAGATTGATCTAAAATGTTTGAGTGCTGCTGCAGAGAAGACTTCCCCTCTCTCCATTTACTTTGGTCACCACTCAGCTGAACATTTATCTGGGAAAATATTTTCCTTGCACTCAGACAGCAAACCTAGCTGCTGGCTGATAAAGGGTAGAAATAAGAACAAAAATGTGTGTTAAGGTATATGGCTCTCCTGACCGAGTCTTGGTCTCTCTGTTGCTCTAGGAAGGCGGAAAACTCCACCAGTCTGAGTTTAGATGTGCCGATGGAGCGGCCTTGCCACGCTGGGGCTGTGGGAGCTGGAGCGGCAGCAGGTTCATAACCTGCCAATACAGAAAAACAACCAGACTTTCATCTCCTATTTGTAATGTTTACTGATTATTCCTAAAGACATTGTTTTTTAAAATGTTCAATTCTACATTTCCACAGTTTTCCTAAATTTTAGACAAATTACAATTATTTATCAAGCTGATTCTCACTTGAAATGGCTGTTGTAACTGCTGACTGGATGGGATATGGTTGCTGGGTGAAAGGCTTAATGCTGAAAAAGAAAAGCACAGATTTATTGGAAAAAGCCCTATTAGCACGTTACATATATTCTTATAATCACATATATTTTTGAGACTTACTCTTGTGAGGATCCTGGCTGACCGGCTGATATCATACCCTGCCATAACTAGAGATGAAGAAACATAAATCATCAAAGTCCAACTGTGAGCATCTGTTAGATGCAACATCAAAGAGGCAGCTAATCCTTATTGATCAGAGTTATCTGGACTACCGCTCCTTCTGATCATGTGTTTATCAGATTGGGACAGTTGTTGCAAAGCTGTGGTGTGTAATGTGATTTGGCCTGGGTTTCAGTAAAGTTGGTCCTGGTTCTGCCCTGTGTGAAGTGAGACAGAATAGATCTTTAACAGGGTGCCAATGAGGTACGTACCCCTGCTCCAGGGAAGGCGGGCCGAGGGATGCCTGGCAGGCCGAGTTTGTTGTGGATTGCTGTTGCAGAGACGATCTGAGCTGAGGACATGGAGGCCATGCTCTGGAGGGCTTTGTCCTTCACCGCTTGGTCCTTCAAAGGCATTAACAAAAGGCTTAGCAACTTGCACATATGAGAGAGTGAGGGGGTAGAGGGATAACAGAGTCTAAACTGAATGTTGACAGCAACACTGAACTTTCTCACAGCAGTAAACAGCAAGCACATTAAAAGCACCATCAGTATAGCCATGCTAAGGACAGATTTGTCTGTTTCTTCCAAGGTATTCCCTAAACAATAGCTTCCAAATTCCAATATACGACAGCAGACAGTGGTATGCAGTGGAATTAAACTTCACTTGATAACTCATTTTCCACAAAAATATTTTTAAAATGTTCTTTCAAAGGCCCTCATTTCAAGGCTGCATTTGTCTGAATGTCAAAACTAATCACATCTAAACATCCAAAAGAATTTCTGAGGTAAACCTGAAGCTGTTGAAATCATTATTAAGTCTAGCAATTCAACATTGCTTCTTTTGTTTTATCTTTGTTTTACACATTTGGAAGTCGTCAAGGTTGCCTAAAATCTTATTCATTTTAAACATTAACTATGAAAGAATTTTATTGTAATTAGAGTTATAAAATTCTGCAGCAGCTTGTGCATGTGAGCACTGTGGAAAGCTCATGCAGACATATTGGTGGCAGAAGCTTGAGGCAGGCATGCTTGCAGTGGATGTCAGTGTAGCAGAGTCATGACACACAGATGCATCGATATCAGTAGAAAAGTCGGCATTAATGGACAATTAGCAAAAGCACACAAAGCAACGTTAAATAAAGCAGGAATTGCATACCAAATTAAAAATAATTACTTACCATACTCGTGACCTAAATGCAGAAAAACAAGGTTTCATTGTAAACTTATAATCCAACTGGTCTGAGTAATTCAAGTCTCATGTATGCATAGAACATCTTTAAACTTAAGGTAAAAGTAATGTAATTTTACTGTTTTTCTACAGAACATTAAGTGTGCAAACATGCACATACGTTTCAGGAAAACTTCAGAACCAAAGGATTTGTATTTACAAATTAGCCTTTGTGGTTAAAATCTTGCTCTATAATTTCCTGATCAGCATTCATCACTCAAGACAAAACAGAGCAGTAATGTAATAACTGTAATTTTACTAAAATACTACAGAAGAGAGCAGAAGCAGCAGGTTTTGATTCTTCTTAAATGAAGGGTACACTTGGATTTCTATTTACTGCTGAACTCTAATTTGCTTTAAATGAAAAAAGACAGGGATTCATACAAAAGCTCTGTTTCCCTTCATACAGACGCCTGTGCCTGTGAAAAGGCAGGCAGGGAGGTGGATAGCGGCTCTCTCAGCACACACACACATGATTATACACACAAAGATTAATAAGGGGTCATTAATTTGTGTTGAATACTGGAAGAGGAGCAAAGAGGTCAAAATGTATAGTCCTGTAAAAAAAACGTGAAAACATGGCACACAGGCAGGGTGCAGTTTAATATAAAAATACCCTATATACCAGTCTGTATTATTCAATATTACTTATTTCACAATGCATTTCATCCACTTTATTCTGCTTTTCTGAAAAGCCTTTGTTTGTGACTTTTTCTCTTTAAATAACTGACAAGAACGCTGTAAAACTATGACATCTGTACTGAGAGGAAGGAAAGTGGCTGATGCAATGGCATTGTGAGAACCTGGAGTAATCAACAGATTGGGGACAAAAAATGTCAAGAACAGAAAAAGGGCATTTTGAGAAAGAGGCAGCTTCGCAGCCATTCTCTCGCTCTGAATGTACACCAGTGAGTCGGACAAGAAAAGTTGGGTTACTTCAAAAGAGGTAGAGGATTAAGGTCTTCTTTGTTTTATTGTTAAAACCGTACACTTCCTTCCGTCTGTGCGAGTCAGCGCTCAGCCACCCAACAACAGCCAATGCCAGCATGCTTTGAAACACATTTACTAAACACAAGAAAGATCAACGATTAGAGACTTATACTGTTTTATCACTGTATTAAAACGCAGCCCAACCGAGACCTTTGGACATCTGCATGTTTTTAGTATTTACCCAATTAGTCTGAATTTACACTGAATTTATTTAAATAAATATCTAGTTTAAATTGTTTCTAATTAAATAAAAGTGTCATAAAGCTAAACCCCTTTTTGAGTTCATGTCACCAAAATATGTACACTAAACTGTATAAAAGATCTTTTCCAGTTAAAGCAGCTTCTTGGATGAGAATTTTGTACTTTAATGTATTTCTCTGCTTCTACTTCACTAATATTAGGTCTTTAAACAATCATCATGGGAGGAATTTATTTTTGAATGCTTGCTTTTGATGCTGCAAAAAAACATTTTAGGAGGTGACAGAAATATTTGGTTAAGTCATTAAGAAAATAAATGTAAACTGTTTTATTGCCAAAACAGGAAAGTGAGACAGATGCAACATTAAAAGACAAAAAAACAACAAAACATAATAAATACATTAAAGTAGTCATATTTTCTATTGGTCTTCAATGTTAGCAATAAACAAGAGGTGAGACGTCTTTAGGTAAATACTACTGCAAGTCATTTTATCCCAATATCCTGTAGTCCTAAGCAGTAATTTGAGTTTCAAATGGTAATCAATTAAGTTCAACAAACCTTGTTAATTCCCCTTAGCTATTTACTTTGTTAGCCAGCCTATAACACACTGTTTAGTTCATGTTAAACAAATATAGGTTCAGCTGATTGGTTGCACATCTCTTTAGAGCAAACTCATTACCCTTTTTTCCTTTTATATGCAGCTGATTTGCAGATTGCAACAGGGGAGGATAGGGGTGGGGGGGGGGTCATCTTTGAGCTTGAAAATAGGATAAGAGATAAACTGACAGAAAGTTTTAATGCTTTTTAAGCATATTTGTTAAGTCCAAACTGTATTTTGAGCATGATGATTTACATTTTTATCCAATTCTAAACCTGCATGAACCTTAAAACTTTTAGTTCTTCTTATCTATTCATTTATATAATAATGATAATAGTCATCTAAAGGTAATGTAATGTAAATACTGTTTGATGTTATCTTAATTTATGTGCAGTTGCGGATAAAGCAATGGTCCATGAAGAGAAATGAACCTGGACAGAGGAAGCATGACCACATAAGAGGATGAGCAAGAAACTAAGGGGATGTTAGAAAAGGCTGAACAGGTAAGAGTCAGTGATTAGAGGGAACCAGAGGACCAGGCATTCACTCTGTCACCACAGGAACAGAAAGTTTAAGACGCACAGAAACCAACAAGCCCAAAAGCAGAAAAGCGCATACCTTTAGCTTGGAATGAAACTCACGAGATTTTCTTCTGGCAAGAACCTGAATGTGACTAGACACCTGCGGGGTAGGGGAGGGGAGGAAAACAAAGGAAGAGCCTGTAACCATGGCAATGAAAAGCCCCCTGCAACTGGGCAAAGCCAGACGTACCTTAATGGCAGCTTGGATTTCTCGAACTTTCTTTCTTGCTAAGACCTGTATGTGACTAGACACCTCCATTGGAAAACAAGAGAAAAAGTACAATAAAAAACAAGAAAAACCCAAAAAGGTTCAGAGTGGATCACAGATTCTTTGTTTAAAAACACTTAAGTCAGGCATTCTGAGACCACACACCAAGCTAACAACCAATAAAGGCCATGTACAGTGTGTTGTCGTGACTTAAGTGAGCTGATTAGGGAAGATGCAGGCTCCTTTTCCACACATTAACAGCACACAGATGTGATCCACTGTGCGCTGAATAAAAATCGGCTGGTCTAGTATTTAGCTGCCGCCAAGTGAGGCGATTCTCCAGCAAAGTTTACCTCAGTTACTCACATAATTCAAAATAATCCTGTACTCATAGATGACGCAGTCTGGAAGCACTTTAATTGAAAGGTAATGTGTATTAATGGCAGTCTTGAGAGCTGGACTGTGTAGACTCCAATCACACAAATCACACTCAAGTTGAATAGTGAAACAGTGGGGAAAAAAAGGGATTCAACAGAAAGGTATCAGCAGGAGCTGAATTTTCAGCTGAACAACAATTTCCATAAATATCAAAACATACCTACCTTTGTTAAGCATTTTAACCGCAATTTTAAAAAAAATATTTGACTACAGAGGTCACTCATGTTGGAGTTTTAGTTTTTTAACATAATTTAATTAAAGTTATCAGACTATTGCTGCAGCCTCTGACAACAATAATAATAAAAAAAAATTATATTAAAACTACTATATAACATATTTGTAAAACTAATTTACAAATAAGTTACATATTAGTTTTAATATTTAACTTATTTGTAAAACCAATTTACTTGCATTAGCTATGTACAAAATAAGTCATGCATTTGGACACGGACCAAATGACCTCAAATATCCATGTAATGATACCATGCATGTACATTATATCAATTTAAACAAACCGGAATATATGGTTATTGCTATAGCTTTGAGTAAACAAGTGCCAAGCCTAATTCTGTAAAAACATGAAGCCTTTCTGGTCCAGACTGATCAATACAAACTCAGTAATTGAGTGTCACTGCAGACAACACCTTGCTTATCGCTGTCATTCACCGAAATGATCAGAGAGGGGGTTTCCGTGTTTAAAAGGAAATATCACTCGTCATTTCCTTTATTAAGACAATGCTATAAGGATTTGTTTCAATACACACCATATCACCTTTTATGTATAATTAGCACCGTTATCGAAAAAAAAAAAATAAAAAAATCTTAGTAATGTCATTTGCAAAGATAGAAGATAGAAGATAAAAAGTGTATAAACAGGTATTCAGACTACCTGGATTTTCTCATTAAAGAAACCCTATTATGAAGTGTGGAACATGTTAGAGCTGGAGTATGTTAAAAATATAGATTCCTTGTTAAATGACGAATGATCCTAGATGTGCAATGTTTTTTCAATTCAAGAGTTTAGAATGCTGTTATTTAATATTTTAATAATTTATTAATTACTATTTTTTTTGTCTTTTCTCCATTTTTTTATGTCTTTTTTTCCTTGTTGTTGTGAGGCCTTAGCTGATCTTTATCTTGAAAGATGCCATCCATTTCAACAGAAATAAAGGGTATCTAATTACTCACTCAGGAGAGCTATTTTATGTTTCTGAGTGAAGGTGGAAAGATCTGACGGTCAAGTGACATTTTTTATCCTTACTAAAATTGCAGTCGATTTACCTTGGACCATGGAATTGGGAAGTCAGAGAGACATAACACCTCTGTTTCCCAATCTTACAAAAATACTGTTCTACCTGGTATTTTGTGCATGTAAAGGGCACTAAAATATCCCATGTAATACACAGCGAAAGAGTAATACCAGAATGACGGACTTACTGGTATGTACATAATGATAATGGCTTCAAACAGTCAATTGAGGAAAGTTTTATTATTCCTAAATGAAGAGGTTGGGTATGGTCACATCTCCAACTTTCCAACTTGGAAGTCCCTTTTTCTGGGGTGTTCCAGCTGAGATTTCCTAATAGGTCTGAAATTTCAACTTCCAAGTAAAAATAAAAATAGAACACTATAATTTTCCATCTGTTTTTACATCATGTTGTTTGGGATAAAAAAAAAAAAATACATTTTTTAAGATTGAAATGATACAATGCATTCCAATTTAGCAAAAAAGAGAAAGAAAGGGCAGGTTTCTAATTGACTCCTGTGAATGCAGATTGTCTTCAATCAGCTGTTGATCGACTAAACCAATGTTTTTCAACCCTGGTCCTCAAGGCACACTGCCCTGCATGTTTTAGATGTTTCCCAGCTTTCACACACCTGTTATCAATTGATAGCAGATTATCGGGCTTTGGTGAACTGCAATCATCTGAATAGGGTGGCCATTTCTATAGCACCAAAAAGGAGGACATTGTGCAGAATATCAATAGATAACTAAGGTGTACATAAGAATCGAGTAAAGTCACATTTATAGTACAATTCTTAGTAGTTTAAAGAGGATGCTTTTGTAGCTGAATAGAACAAAATATTAAAGAGATGTAAAAAATAATTGGTTCCCAGCATTTGTATTTATTTAATACATTGTGGTGTTTAAAAAATGACAATTTTTTGACACGATTAATTTGTGCAGATTATTTATAATGGCATTAAAAGAGCATTAAATTATCTCATTCCTGTATAAACCCTGTGAACGTTTAATTTAATATGACATATTTAAAAAAAATCCCCATCATCATCCAGCAGATGCTCAGTTTCTGCGCAAATATTTTCTTTCTGTTGTGGATTTTTGTAACAGGAATAACTAGGATCATCCATAGTTTGTATGAACTATGTTTGTTCTCTGCTTCCAAACTCACAATCTCTTAATCCATTCCTGCAATAAGAATTTTCTTTTAAAGTTGTGAGGTGTGCGCTAGAATTTCACAACTTCTTCCTGGTCTGTTGAAGCACCAATAGTCTGCATCCAATTATTTAATTAATTGCTCTTAGTTTTTGGGAATATATACAAACTATGCTCTAATTTCTAGTTACCGATCTGTTTTTACTATAATTTAATTTGACAAACCGGGTCTTCTCTACATTCTTTTTCCTGTTTGGTGCGATTGCAATTGCGGGTCTTGATCTGGACTGACCGGAGCGGAGCAAAAAATTAGCTCAGTTCCGTATTTTGACGGTGAAAGACGGAGAAGACGTACGTGGACAGAGACGTGTGGAGGAGTAGCGGAGGGTGTGGATCAGCTCTCATTGATTTACATGACAGACAAGTACTCCGCACGGCGTACGTGAGTGGAGCAGAGCGCTGAAGGAGTATGTGGAGTCTGGAGGTAAAGGAGGACAAATACACGTCCGCCGGACGCCGGACAGTGCAATGACTGTCCGCCCTAGAGCCGGACATCTGGCCACCCTACATCTGAATCAGATGTGCTGAAGCTCAGAAACATCCAAAACTTGCAGAGCAGTGTACCTTGAAGACCAGGGTTGAAAAACACTGGACTAAACAATAACACTTAAGTGAATAAAAACACTAAAGAATTGTGGTGGGAGCAATAAAAAATTTACTGACTGTCAGAAGGAAAAAACACTTTAATCTGCAATATTCAAGATTTTAAAATACTACACATTACTGTTTCTTTTCACCAAGAGAATGAGTTCCCTGTTCCCCGTATCAGGCTTGCAAATTTTCCATTTTTGACCATTGAGAGCTACAGATAGAGTTAAACACAGCATTATTTTTAACCCAGACTTAGCTGAGTTTAAGGTTAATAAGTTCACATGTTTCTTCTGTTTCCCCAAGATAAACCACAGAGTCACTAAAACATCCAAAGAGCTGCTCAGCAACTATAAGAAGGCTTTAACCATTATAATGTCAATAAAGATTTCTTCCATATTTCATCTGATTGCTACAAACTGTGGAAGTTTTACCAAATGGATGCATTTACTTTTTAAGGTTACCTTTATCAACTACTGAGACACGAGTTTCTTCTATAAGAAACATTGCTGGTTGACTGAAAACTCAAATTATTAACAACTGATAGATGAATGGTTTTTCACTCCCAAATAAGCAGAAATGGAAGATGAACAACTAGATAAAACCCAGTGATTATGTAAGTTAAAAAAAAAACAGAGCTGTTCCAAAAGAAGATGAATGATGTTTTATTAGCAAATGCCTATTCCCTTTACTTGAGATTCTCATTCTCATCCCTCAAATTAAAAATTGGAATGTTCTGAGCGGGGAAAAAAATCTTTAATCCAAATGTTTTTTTAATATCTTTCATTGGTATCAACAACTCCAGACTCCATGCAAGCAGTGATGGGATATAAATATTTGGATCAGAGTATCCTGATGCCCATCCATCTGGAGTCTGCTTTAATGACATGCCCTTTCAGGAGGAGCTGCTTGTCTCTTGCCTTACCTGCTTGCGAGTTCTTGTCTTTCCAGTCCGAAGCTTGATGTATCTGGCTATCAGCTCATTTCGACCTGAAAGAAAAGAGAGCATGATATACAGATCAGACAGGGTCTATACAGGAATGAGTAACTCTAATTTAACGTTTTTTAATGCTGTTACTAATAAATGTAATGCTAGCAAGTACTCATAACTCTCATATAAATATAAATATATATACATATATATATATATATATATATATATATATATATATATATATATATATATATATATATATATATATATATCCTTCATCATCTTTACCGTGGACAAGCTGCAGCCATGTACAGAATTCATCGCTTTCTAGCCACTTTAGTTGAAATTTGCATTTTGCCATACAAGGCATCCCAAGTTCCAAAAGCTAATTTCAGGGAGATGCACAAATTATTGTATTGCCTGCATGCTCTCACTCGCATTAAATAAAAACACCACCTCATATAGTCTAAAATCCAGAATAATGTATCCGACTCGTGGGTATTTGTGAACAACCATCGATATCAGGGAAACTCCAAGAACTTCCCTGAGACTTGGAATGTGCCATAGTCTAGCCTTTTCTCCGCCTCAAGCTTGTTTTCCGAACATACGGCTTTACGATCAACTGTTAGCAGTTCTGTGCAAACACGCGGAACCAGTTATATCTGATAGAATATATCTGATGAAATTGTTTTTATAAACTTTTCTTTTTTAAATAAAGCATTTTAAATGCCACTATAATCACATTTAATGAATTGTAATGCCAATTAAGGCCCTAATTAAAAAAATTATAATAATTTAATGACTTTTAATTAATTTGAATGGCCACCTGTGGAAACCCTTTAAGCCCATCTTAATAAATATGTGGATAAAAGTGGGTACATTTTCCCTGTGTTGACTCTGATCAGCTCTGTTCTCCCAGTAAATCAATAGAGAGTGCTTACTTTGATACCTTTTTTTGAAATTGTATAAACAGTCTGTTATGTTTTAGGGAGAAAGATGGGTATCCTCTTGGAATTTCCGTACTTGCCGCCTGGTTACAAATACCATGCTCAAGGAATCCAATGCACAGCATTTCTTTATTGTGAAAAGGTTTAAGGTGTTTTGGCTCTCTAAATGTACATGACAATTCTACTTTTTGTGACAAAGTGAATCAGAGATAAACATCGAATAGGGTTGTGGTACTTGTACTTGAATTTCCCGCAAGGAATTCATAAAACAATTCTGATTCTGATTGTCAAAGGCTTCGGTCCGCAAAGCAGCCATCCCAATCTCCACCAAAAGTCATCAACCGCCCATTTCCTGTCTAGCAACTGTTGAAATATAGTATAGAGTCTGCTAGAACTAATAATGATAAGGAAAATGACGGTGAGATACTTGGTAGGTGTGCCTCTAAAATAGATATTCCCTATAGAGGAAAAAGCTTGATTTTAAATTTTTGTAACTGGGGAAAAAATACCAGTTTGTTGCAATAAAAACTCAATATACCGTAATAATGCATTAGTGTTAAGTGTTAAGGTATTATTAGCTGTTTTCTGCAGCATTTAAGTTTGCTTGTCCTGTATTTTATAGATAAAACAAACAACCTCGCTTTTTTATATTATATGTCAATCTGCATTTTTTCCTATTTGGATGAAAACAGTAGACATACCAACATGAAACATGAAATTTTAGGAATTCAAGTGAACAACCTTCCTTCTGATTTCCCCTCACTGGTTGACATATCTCAGTTCATTGTTCTGAAGGCATGCATAAATCAAGGACTAAAAAAACCTATAATGTCCGTATTCTTTGTGACACATCTTTCTCTGACACACTCCAGATGGCCAAATACAGGAGAACACTTTCCTGATATTACGGACATGTTAAAAAATATATAGCAAAATCATTTATCTGACAACTTATAGAAGTATATATATATAATAATTCTGAGCAGATTTTACTGTAACAACACTGAGCTCCATTAGCATAGGAAAAAAAAAACCTCAGTTGCATCAGAGCCTTTAAAATTAATCTAATTCAACCACAGGCTCTTCAAAGCCCAATGCTTTGAAAGGAAACAGACCTAGCTTTTCATGCTATTACAGAAAAATAATGGCAACTGAATATATTGGATTTAAAACACTACAGCCCTGACTCAATTATAATTAAAGCATAGCTTTGTAGAAATTTCCAATTAACAACCACCCAAAACATTCTTCTGCCCTCAGCTCTGCTCTAATTGCTGTGGCAATGCATTGACCCTGCTTAGCCCTTTCATATGGTAATAACACACTGCCAACCAAAACTATTACACAAATTATTGGTAGGGAGGCACTCTAATTATGTCCCCAGCTGTAGCCAGCCAGTGCCATGGAACTGCCAAACTCCTTCATGAAATTTGCCAACCCCTCATCAGAATGAAACCTTTTTTTTTGCTATACTTCATTATCAATTAGAAAGCCTTGTTGTTGCTCAGACACAAGTGGATCAGAAAGTGCAACATGTACTAATAAGACATCACCAGACATTTTTCATCAAAGGCACGGCATCACAAAAGAAATCTTTACTCTTAAAATTAAATCATACAGTGAGGTATAGACACCATCTTGATAAAAAAAAAAAAACTTAATATTAGCTCTAAAATAAATATGTTCCTTGCATTGCGTGATATTTAGAGCCTAATCTTCAAAGATTCAAAATAAGGGGTGCAATTTTTTTTGTTTGTTTCCATGTTAAAAGAAACCGTATAGAGAATCTCTCTCCATGGTCTGGCATTGTACCAATGTCTTCTTTATGGCAACAAAAGGTGCAGGTATTTTTGTGTGTCAGTTTTCACCTGACTTTACAGTAGTACTAAAAGGGAAGTAAGGGGTGCAGCCGCAGTTGAGTTTTAGTCTTGGAAAGTATTCTGTGTACTGTATGTGGTAAATTTTAAAATCTGTATACCATCCATGCATGAATTTGCACTTTTGTCAACAGAATATGATCTGTATATTAATAAACGTATTAATACACACACAAAGGTTTTGCACACAAAGTCTGCTTGATTACAAACCTAAATCACTTAGCATCTTCCTCGAGGATCTGCTCTGCACATACAAAGACATTTAACCCTGTTTTAAGACACAGGGACCTAAAGATCAGGCCCAAAGAGTATTACAACTAAGAGGATAGTACAGAGCCCCTCTGATGACATGGTCAAAAAAAAATTTTAATTGTGGCCACGAAGTAGTATTTCGTGCGCACGAAATACTACTAAGCAAATCGAGCGCGCCCTCTCTAAGGTCTAAGGCACGCTCGATTTGCTTAACCAGTTGTCCAGGAATTATATTAAGATTATTAATAAGTATTTCGTGCACACGTTAAACTTACTGCGTGGCCACGAAGTAGTATTTCGTGCGCACGTTATACTACTTCATGGCCACAATTAAAATTTTTTTTTTGACCATGTCATCAGAGGGGCTCCGTAGATAGCCCATTATGTTATGGGTACTCTCTCAGTTAGTCATCTAGAAAATCTAAATACATGTAAATAAGAACCTTTAAGGCGAAAATAAAAACTAGTGCATTCAATTAATTATTATTTTCTGAAATAAAAACTTCTGTATTTTCAAGGGCTTTTATTTTATCGGATGACTCACCAGTTTTTCTTCAATTTTATAGTAAAGAGAATAGTTAAGAGAAAAAAAGGAAGGAAAATCTAATGATTTAAGGGGCAAATGAAAAACTAAACTTACTTAACTTTATAACATGCCTGTCAACAAAACAGGTTGCAAACAGTTCAATCAGTTTCACAGCAGTTTCACAGAGTTCTGTTCTGTCTAGAGCAAAAGCTAACGTAAAAGAAGCCAACAGTAAGTATACAGACCCTCACTGCTTTCCCCGAGGGCTTTCTGCAGCAATCTTTTAAACACACAAGGACAGGGCCGGAAGGGATTGGAACTATTGCTGGCTGGTCGACCCTGACATTATTTTCATACTGCATGTTCACACAAGTCCAGTCTGAACCTGGTCACATCACCCCACACATCAAAAACACAACATTTGAGGACTTAGGCTTTCTGCAAACTTTACCAAATGAGGCAGGGATCAGCGTTATTTTCAGTAATTCACACATGGTGGACATGCAACATGACAATACACGCATTCATGCAAAGTCCTGATTCTGACATCAAAGCACACAAATGGGCAGCTGAAAGCCCGCTTACTGTTGAATAATTCATTCTTTTCACCAGGCTGGAGGAAAAAAAAGCACACCGAATCTTAGCAAGCGTGGATGCTTTCCCCTTTTTCAACGCAAAACAATCTGTTTTTTTTTCAGCATGGGGTGGGTATTTATCTTTCAAGCAACACTGTGTACATTTTAGCCACCAGGGGGTGCTTCACCTGTGACTTCCAGGTTTAACTTCCTGTGAAGATCCCTAGCAAAATTAAACAGAATCCATAAGGGTTGGCCTGTTTTTTTTTTTTTTTTCTCAAAACAAGATCGCAAAAAGACAATAACCATATTGTTTTTGTTTGTGTCACCTTTAAAAACCTAAATGCCAATATAAAAAAAAAAATATTGGAGTAACTATAAAGCAACAGCATTTTTTTTCTTTCAGCTATGTGAAAAAAACTAAAATGCAGCTATAGTGGTGTTGTTCCAGATATTAAATAGGGCAATGGTTTAAAAAAAAAAAAAAAGTTATCAATTTTGTACAGGCTTGTGTTTTAGATTAAAAAAGGTGAACTTATGGTTAGGAAAAAAAGGTCTTTCTAAAATGTAGGGTAACTAACAGCCTACATGTAGCATACTAGTACATTTCAGTTACCGGTACTAAAGTTGGCAGTGCTGATCAGTTTATAAGACCATATAAGACCATATCAGCTGGAAGAACTTCAGAAATTCGTTTAGACACCATGGCTGCACTCAAAAACTATTCTGCACTGATTAAAGAAATCAGAAATCTGGTGTGGGCAGTTGTGGAGCAGCACATTACTCTGTTATGGCGGGTTTTCTCAGGGTTCTGCAATGAGCACAACTTACGAAGAAGCAAACAACTGTTTACGACATTCCATGTACAGCACTTTAGTA